GGGGCGGCGGGAGGGCTAGCGCCAGGCCCAGGCTCCCGCGGACATGTTCTGCGCAGCAGGAGCCCCGGCGCTGAGGGAAACTTCAGCGCCGCAACAGCCGGAGCGAGCACACGTGTGTCCTGCCTCCCGGGACAGGACGTGTCCGGCTCAGGCACGTTCAGCGCTCGTGCTCTGCCTCTTTTGGGTGCTTTGTAACGGCCTCATGCCACTGAGTGGCCGGCCCCTTCACAGAAGCGTTTTGAAGTTGTGGCATCCGCGGATGTTTGGATGAGGGAGACTGAGCCAGACCGCCCCCTCCCCCGGCCCTTTACCATGACAGTCGCTTGCTCTGGCCTCATTCCTGGACCAGCCTGGCAGCAACATCACTCTACCGCTACTCTTTTATTTCACATTCCCTCTGTGCTCTGCTTTTAGGAACTCATATTTGTGTTTTCTCGTGTTTACCTTGGACTTTCTGCAGAAGAGGCCTTCCTACATAAGCTTATCTGAGTCAGGTAGTTTTGGTTTGTTTCAGGTACATTTTTGTAAGGGACGTGATACAGTGGCATCCACAACTGAAGGTTGCAGCTTCTCTAACCATTACTATGCAAAGGGGCGAGCCTGTGACTGATAACTGAGAAATCGACTTGTTCATGATTGGGAAATTTCCTTGAGTAAACACCTGTGTGCCTTTACTTGCAAGCCTCTGCTCATCAAGCTCATCAAAAGTGGCTTTACTGAATCGATACAAAGTGTAAGTTGGTCAGTATAGTGGCATCTATTTCAGTAGTGCTTTGCTGGTATAGATCTTAGATATATCTAGACTAAGAAAGAATTTGGAGTGTAGACTTTGTGCGACACCCAGACACTATAAAATGTTTCTGAAGGATGGAGTCCCTGAACCCTTTAGTTCGAATACTAATATCTTCCCCTTTCTTGGAAGAGGAGGGTTAGGAAGAGATGGGTTGTCTTAGCAGCACTTTTTCTGCCCATTGTGGGTGTGTATGCGTTGGAGAATCTTTCATATCGAGCTTTGGATAGTTGATTAATGCTGTGGCCATTTGGTGTCTGATAATTTTTTTAAGCCTCATGTGTTTTGGAATTAATGAGAAGTTGGCAGTGAAGGTATGTGGGAGGAGACAGGAAGTGGGGGAATAAATTTAAGATATTAGGTTCATAGATTTTGGGTGAAAAAGTGGTTAACAAAGACAAAAGGAAAGAGGAATGGTGAGAGAGATGATATTTTTAAATATTAGTCTATATAAAAATTTTGCAACATGGAGTGATAGTACACAATGATATGTAACTCTTATTAATTTTAATTGTAGGAAGCATACATTTTCTGGAGGTGTAATATAAGTGAAAGTAATATTTTTGTGTGAGCAGCATTTTGACTTTCATTATACTTCCTTCTGTTAACAAACTCTGGAAAAAAACCTTTATAACTAGCAATTTCTATCTTTATGCTCAGATTAAAAAGGAGTATTTGGAAAGTTTGAGCAAATTTTCTTTATCTGTGTTTTGGAATAATCTTACAGAAAACACCTCCACTTGCTGAACTTCATAGCCTGACATTTCCCTGGCTTCAGTGAGAACTAGTTTCCAGGTCAGTCTGCAAAAGGAAAGTTAAATTTCTGAAAAATATTTTTATGTGCAGATACAAACTTCCATCAAATACAGAATTACATTAAGAAGTAGTAATATGGGTGAAATGTGGTTTTGCGCAGCCTTTTAACTGTCAGTTTCCAACTAGATGTTTGTTTCCTAAATTCTGGCTTCCATTGTGTCTGTCCATGTGGCTATACATTTTTGGAAAAGTACCATGAGCTCTGGTTTGCGTTTTTTTGTTTTGGTTAGGTTTTGAAAAAGATTTTAAAACAAAAACAAGCATCGCCATCCCATACACATGGTGATATTGAGCTTGGAACTATTCTATTTTTTTTGGGTAGTCTGCATATAATAAATCCACTGAATTCACCGAGCTGCTTTTTGCTTTGGGAGTTAAACAATATATACAGTCAAGTTTGTTTCAACTTGTTGAGCAGTGGTTTTCCTTCTGTGATTTTAAAAGACGAGGGTCAGAAGTTGTTCCAGGTATCAAATGTACAAGGAAACGTAAGTGGGGAAGTTTCTTGCTCCCTGTCCTGTTCCCTGCAGCCACTAAGAGTAGTCTGCTACCATCCTCTGTATAACTTCTGTGTCAGGTATTTGAAGACTATTTTCAGCACTTCTGTTAGTCTTTTCTTCCTTGGACTAAATAACCCATTTTCCCAGTCTTTCCTAAATCATGTTTCCCAGGCTTGTAATCATTTTGTTGATCTTCACTGGACTAGTTTACTTCTCTGGACATAGTTTACTAGTTTGTCTGCCTCCCTCTTGAAGTATGAGTCTCAAAACTAGATACCAGGTGACACCTCACCAGTACCATATAGAAAGGAAGCATAATTCCTCCCCTTGATTTATCAGGGATAGTCCTATTAATACCACCCAGTATGCAATTGTCGTTTTTGCAGCAAGAGCACACTGTTGGCTTGTATTCCGTTTATGATCCACTGTAAGTCTCAGGTTTTTTTCTCCAGTATTGCAGTGTAGCTAGTCATTCCCCAGTCTGTATTTTTACATGCAGTTGTTCCATATTAAGTGCAGAATGTCATACTTTTCTGCACTGAACTTTGTTTCACAGTTGGTAGGGTCAGAAGGGACCTAAGCAGATCATCAAGTCCGACCCCCTACCATGGGCAGGAAAGGATGCTGGGGTCAAATGACCCCAGCTAGGTGGCTGTCTAGCTTTCTTTTGAAGACCCCTGGGGTAGGAGCAAGCACCACTTCTCTTGGAAGTTGGTTCCAGCTCCTAGCCACTCTGACAGTGAAATAGTGTCTCCTGATATCTAGCCTGAATCTACTCTCAGTCAACTTATGGCTGTTGTTCCTTATTACCCCTGGTAGTGCTCCGGGGAACAGGGACTCTTCCATTGCCTGCTGGTCCCCCTTTGCAAATTTATAGGAGGCCACCAGATCCCCTCTCAGCCTTCTCTTGTGGAGGCTGAACAGGTTCAGGTCCCATAGCCTCCCCTCATAGGGCCTGCCCTGCTGCCACCTGATAATGCGAGTGGCCCTCCTGTGGACCCTCTCCATGTTGTCCACATCCCTCTTGAAGTGCAGCGCCCAGAACTGGACACGGTACTCCAACTGTGGCCTGACCAGTGTTGCATAGAGGGGGAGGATCACCTCCTTGGACCTGCTCGTGATGCATCTGTGGATGCATGACAAGGTGCAGTTGGCCTTCCTGACCGCGTCCCCACGTTGGTGGCCCATGTTCATCTTGTTTGATTAATTTTGGATCATTTCTCCAGTTTATCAAGGTTGTTTGAATCCTAATCCCAGTCCAATCCTGTTGTAATCCTAACTTCCAGGATGTCTGCAACTCTACTCATATTAGTGTCATCTATAAATTTGCTAAATGTGCATTCAATCCCATCCTTCAAATAGTTAATGGAGATACTAAATGATGGTAGACCCAGGACAGACCCCTCTTAATTCTGTCTCCTTATTAGACATTAAGCAATTGATGATTACGTTTAAGCACAAAGATCCAACCAGTTATGGATCTACCTTATAGTAGTTTAATTTAGACCGGTGGTTCTCAACCTTTTTAGATTTGAGGCATCCTTCTTAACCTCATCCCTAATGATATATTATGCCCAAGTTCCACTTCTTGTAGAATTCCATTTTGAGTTTCAATTTCTTGAAGAGTTTACTGTTTAGCAAGGCTGGTCTCCTGCTGCACTTCTCATCCTTTCTTTGAATAAGCCTAGCCTGCACTTGCACACTTAATGAGGTCTTTTTGAAGGAGACCCAGCTCTCCTGGATGCCTTTTCTCCCTCAGACTTGCCTCCTATAGGCTCCCACACACCAGTTCTTTCAGTTCGTTAAAATCTGATTTTATAAAGTCCAGTCTCTTTATTTTGTTTCACTCCTTCCTTTCCTTAGGATCTTGAACTCTTATCATTTCATGCTCATTGTCAGACAAATTGCCTTCTACCTTCACATTCTTGACTAATTCCTCCCTGTTTATGGGAAGAAAATTGAGAACAGCTTCCTCCCTACTTGGCTTCTCTACCACCTGTACCAAAAAGTTATTACCAAAACACTCTAGGAACTTTCTTGGGCTGCCCGCATTCTCCTGTGCTATCCTCCTAGCAGATGTTTTCGTAATTAAAGTCTCCCATGAGCACCAAGCCCTGCAACTTGGATATTTTAGTTAGTTGCTTGGAAAAGTGCAATCACCCCATCCCTCTAGTTAGTTGGTCTGTAGCAGGCGCCCACCATGACATCACCCTTGTTCTCTCGCACTTGACTTGACCAGAGGCTTTCAACAGGTTTACTTGCTTCATGCTTTGCAGTGTACACTGGAACAAGTGTACATCTCTTCTATATAAAAGGCAATATAATTTCCTCTTTTTCCCACTTCCTGAACAAATTATACCTAAGGAGGAAGTATTCCTAGCTTGCATGCTGTGTCAAAATCCACCAGATGTCTTCTGGTTCAGCTTAGATAGCCCTGCACAGGAGTTCTTGGTAATAAAACTATGACTATGTTGAAACCAATGCTGTTATATATAGGTGCACAGTTTTGCCTGAACAGTTTTCAGTGCACAGATGTGGCCTAATTTTAGAAGTAACATAAACCTAGGCACCTCCTGAATGAGAAAGGATTAAAGTTAGAATAACATGATGATGGGTCTTTTAGTTGTAGAAATGTTCAAAAAATGTTATTTGTAGGCAGCCTGACCCAGGTGAGGTTTAAGGAAGTAAATAATAAAAAATGGCCATTTAGCAAATGGGGATAGTAATATTTCCTTGTGTAGAAGTAAGCATAGCAAAGAACAGAGATGGGAATAGTAGAAGAGAGGGAAGAATTAATTTAGATTAGTAATCTATGAGAAAAAAATCAACTTTTCTGGTACCAGAAGAAGTTGAAATTAATTGTTGTATATTCCATTATGTTCTCAATTACAACAACTTTGTGCCGAGCTCTAAAGGTGTTCGCTCATTCAGTGGGAACAGCAGCACTATTTTCATGGAAAGAAATTGCCCCTCTTGTCTGTCTTGAGAAATAGAAATGGCTAGTCTCAAATACTTTACTGGCATCATTCTCTCTTATGCTTCTGCTTAGGGGTGCACCGATAGACATTTTGGGGGCCGATACTAATAGCTGATTTTCAAGGAAGCATATTACCTGATGCTGATCCAATTTCCAATACAGCTGAGTCCAGCTGGTAAGTCAGTTGTGGTGAAAGTGGAGAGAGAGGGAAGGGGTTTGAGGAAAGCAAATCAATGCCCCCCACAGTGAGAGAAGGAGTGGAGCTGGGGTAGGCTCTGGCGGGGCGGGTGTGGGACAGAGCCATGGCTCATCCCAAGGGGGTGCGGCTCCCGCTGCTACATGCCACTCATTCAGTGGCTCCCGCCGCTGCTCCTGCCGCTTGTGTGGGAGGGTGCAGGGCGGGGGTGCGTACCCCTGGATCTACATGGGGTGAGCCAGATGGGCTGGGGCTACACTGCACTATACTTGGGGTGGGCGGTGGCAGTACTGGGAGGGGGCTATGGTGAAATTTGGAGTGGCTGCAGCCCCTCCTCCTCAGGCCCCTCCCAGCACTGCCGCCACCCGCCCCAAGCACAGCCCCTGGCCCCAGCTCGCAGCTGCAGCCTGGCCGGCCCATCCCTTGCAGATCCGGGGGCAGATGCCCTCCCCCCGTGCCCTCATGGACGAGTAGTGGGGCAGTGGTGGGAGCCGCCAGACAAGCGGCAGCTCCATCCCGCACCTGCTTCACCCCTGCTGGGCACCGCCTACATCAGCTCCAGCCCTACTCCTCCCTCACTGTGGGCGGTGTTGATCTGACCCCCCATGCCTCTTCCCTTCCCCTCCCCTTTCACCACAACAGACTTACCAGCTGCACGCAGCTCTCTGTGTTGCTGGGCTGTGTTCCTTGCTGCCTGTGTGCAATGCTATGGCTGCATGCACACACGAATGTTTATTGGCCAAATTACCAGAAAAAAGAAAAGAAAAGAAAAAAAAGGCGCAGAACAAGCCTCACACTCCCCACCTCTGGCAGCAGGGATCAGGGCCTTTGAAGGGTTGTGGCAGAGCTCCCCTGTCCCCCGCCCTGCACAGCGTGGGACAGTTGGGGACAACAGGGATCACCCCCGCCTGGCACCCATGCAGCAGCTGCCCCATGGTGTGGGTGCAGTGTGGCTTGGCAGGGCACTGCATGCTGTCTGGGAGCTGGGGCTGAATGGTGCTGGGCTCTGGGTAACTGCTGGAGCTGCTCCAGCTCCCAGATGGTGCCCTGCCGAACCATGCTATGCGCTGTACCTGCACCATGGGGCAGCTGTTGGGGGGGTGCAATCCCCACTGCCCCATGCTGCACGGGGGGGCTCTGCCATGAGCCCCCAGAGGCCCTGATTGCGCTGCTGTAGCTGGTAAGTGCGGGGCTTTTTCTTTCCTTTTTTTTTTTTTTTTTTTAAGTGCAGGGAGGCTGGGGCCGGGCAGGGAATGGTGCCAGGCAGGGCACCCATGGGGGCTTCTCCTGCAGCTCCTCCCGATGGGGCAGAGGCAGGCACAACTGGACATACCACAGGAGAAGCGCCTATGGCTGTCCCGCCCAGCCCCTTCTCCCACCGGGCCCAGTCTCCTGGCACTTTTATTAAAAAAAAAAACAAAAAAAACCCCCACATTCACTGGATCTGTCAGTGGCAATTGGGGCCTCTGGGGGCTCTTAATAGAGCCCCCCTGTGTGGTGTGGGGGGCAGGGGGATGCTCTCCTTCTCTTGGTATCTGTGTGGCAGCTGTCACATTGCGCAGGTGCAGCGTGGCTTGTCAGGGTGCTGTGTGCTGTCTGGGAGCTGGGGTGGCTCCGTGTGTCAGCTGGAGCCCTGCACTGCTCAGCCCCAGTGACCCCAGCTACCAGGCAGTGCACAATACCCTCCTGAGCCATGCTATACCCGCACCATGGCGTAGCTGCTGCATGGGTGCTGGGGGGTGGGGCGATCCCCACTGCCCTGTGCTGCACAGGGGGGGTCTACCATGAGCCCCTCTGAGCCCCCCAGCAGCCCCGATTGTGCTGCTGCAGCTGGTGAGCTTTTTTTTTTTTTTTTTTTTTTTTTAGGGGGGGGGGGGGGG